ATTTTGTGGAAGAGCCACACTCAAGGGGCCAAAGAGCCGCATGTGGCTCGCGAGCCGCAGTTTGCCGACCACTGGCCTTAGGTGATAGCTCCTGAGACCGGGAGGCGATCCTGGGAGATGTCATCACAGGGGTCCTTACGAGGGGCAGGCAGGAGGTCAGGGTCAGAGAGAGAGGTGACAACAGCAGCAGAGTACAGACAGACCTTTGAAGATGCCACCCAACCGGCCTGGGAGACAGAGCGAGGGGCCAACACCAACAATCACCCTGATTTTCGCCCAGCAAGACCCATAGTGGACTTCTGACCCCCAGAAATATGAGAATGGATCTGTGTTGCTTTATGTCATTAAGTCCGTGGTCATTTTTCCAGCCGCCATAGTCACCTAACAGAGCCCTGACCACTGATTTACTGGTCCGTGTTGATGGAGCACCCGGAGCGCCCAGTGCCAGGCTCTGGAGTGACCCGGGGGCCCAGCTCCCGAGCTCACCGTCCACGGGGACAGCAAGGAAACGAGTCCTTCGCATGGATGCGGGCAGCTCTAAGGAGAGAAGCACTGAGCTTTCAAAGTGGGAACTGCCAGTGATGGAAGGAAAGACACACGCGGCCCCGCCGGCGTGGCTCAGTGGTTGAACATCAACCTATGGAACTGGGAGGTCACGGTTCAATGCCTGGTTGGGGCACAGGCCCGGGTTGTGGGCTCGATCCCCAGTAGGGCGCCTGTCGGAGGCAGCCAATCGATGATTCTCTTTCTATCATTGATGTTTCTCTCTCCCTCCCTCTCTCTTTCTCTCTCTCTCTCTCTCTCTCTCTCTCCCCCTCTCCCTTCCTCTCTGAAATTAATAAAAATATATTTTTTAAAAAAGGAGAGGGAGATTTAGAGGCAAAGAGACACAGAGAAGGCCACGTGAAGACGGAGGTGGAACTTGGGACCCCCAGAAGCTGGAAGAGACTTTGAGGGGAGGGCAGCCTGCCAACGCCTTGGTCCCAGGCTTCTGACCTCCAGACCTGAGCGAGAATAACATTTCTGTTGTCTTAAGCCACCTGGTTTGTGATAATTTATTATGACAATCCCAGGAAACGAGTATGCATGTATGTATGTATGTATGTATGCATGCATGTATGTATCAACCAATCCATTTCTGAGCCCCGATTGTGCACAGGGTGCCTGCTTGTCATGGAACACTCATAAGAACTGGCTGTACCATAGGCCACAAAGAAAACCTCCACAGATTCCAAAGAACAAAAACAACACAAGCAGGATATTCTATTTTGCAATAAAAGTAGAAATTAATAACAAAAATTTGTAGAGACCTTTACCTCTGGAGAGATTTTTCAAAGACATGTCAATAAACACCTCCTGGATCAAAGGGGAAGCACAAAGGGAAAGTATAGAATTCTTGGGAATAATCATCATGAAAACTCGATATATTCGTTGGCAAAGTTGATAGCACTCAATTGGCTTAAAAGAAAAATAAACACACTCAACTCAAACAACTACAAAAAGGCAATTAAGAAAACAAAACAAAACAACAAAAAAAAAACAGAAAAAAAGAATTAATAAAAATAAAACAGTATTTCATGAGGTATAAAATAAAAAAATAGAACTAACAACACCAAAAGCCAGTTCTCTTTTAAAAAGAAAAAGTAAAAACAACAACAACAAAAACCCAGTAACAAACCCAATCAAGGCAAAACCAGGGAGAAAACACATGTACAAAAGGTTGGAAATGACAAGGGGAAGAGACCCAGCAAAATGAAGGGACTTGCCAAACATTCCTCTGTACAGCTCTCTACAAATACATTGGAAAACAGAGACGAAATAAATAATTTTTAAGAAAAACACAACTTCCCAAAGTTGACCTCAAGAGCAAGTCCAAAAAGCTCAATTTCCATTGAGGAAATGGAGAACATGGTTTAAGGAGCCCCTGTGAGATTCTCCCAAACTCATCCTCTCTGAGCCACGAGCCACAGAGGAGAGAGACGGGGCGCATCTGTTTCATGGGTGTAACCCTCATCCTCGCCCTCACAGAAACTAAACTAGAAAAAAACAGTGCATCGATGCAAAACTCAGAAAGAAATGACCAGCAACCACTCCGAAGCACACGCAGAGCTGTAGACCATGGCCAAAGGGAGTTTGTTTTACAGAAAGCAAGGGTGGTTCTCTGTTGGGAAATCCATTCATATAATCAATCATGTTGTCAAAGTTAACGAGGAAGCTCATATGAGCATCTCAGTGGATGGAGAAAAGGAATTTGAAAAAATCCAACATCCATTCATGTTAAAAGCACTCAAGAAAATAGAAATTGATGAAGATATATCTTTAACATTGTGAATGTGTGTGTGTGAGAGAGAGATAGATGATAGATAGATGATAGATAGATAGATAGATAGATAGATAGATAGATAGATGATAGATAGATGATAGATAGATAGATGATAGATGATAGATGACAGATGATAGATAGATATAGATGATAGATAGATTCATCCCCTAAAGCCAATGTTTTACTAAATGGGGAAGCACTGACTTTTTCATTGGAGTCTGAAAAAAGATATATATAACCTTGTGTATAATTGTATCTATCTCATTGCTATTTTCCATCATTCTGTTGATAAAGACAGAAAATAAAATAGCCAAAAACCTGTCAAGAAATACCCCAAACCAATGAGCAGGACTGTAAAGCATTCCTGACAAACACCAATGAGCCTGGGCCCAATGGAAGGAGATACACACTTGGTTAAGAGGATGAAACATCATGTCAGTTCTCCCAGGTTTGTAAATTGAATGCAATTCCAGGAACAACGTCCTCACTTCTCCCCCGGAGCTAGACAAGTTGATTATAAAATCCATTTCGAGGAACAAATAAGCAAGAACAGCCAAGAAAGCACTGCAGGAGAAGAAAGGGAGGAGGGCCAGCCCTGCCAGGCACTGAGGCGCGCCAGTCACACCTGTCTTCCAGCGGCCTCGCTCAGGGAAGGGCACGCATTTAGACTGCAAGTGGCAAAGCCACACTAGTGTGACTGTGCTCTACTGGTGACCTTGTGGGGAAACTGTCGCGTGCATTGCTGGTGAGAAGGCAAAGTGGTACTTCCCCCAAGGAGGGAAACATGGTGATGCCCAGCTGAATGCCACATGCATTTACCCTTTCACCACGAGACCCCACTACAGGGGATCGATCCCACAGAAACCCTGGCAATAATATGAAGAGATGTCTGCAGCAGGCTTTGCATTGCTGAATTATCTATATAAATATATACATAAAAGCCTAAGTGACCATCAGACGGTTCGACATGATGAGCACTGACCACCAGCGGGCAGACGCTCAATGCACAGGCATGGAAACATGGAACAGACTGATGAATCTCAGAGGGAAGGGGGAGGGAGGAGGGTGGCAAGAGTTAACCAAAGATCTTATATGCATAATAGAGGCCCGGTGCACGGATTTGTGCACCAGTGGGGTCCCTTGGCCTGGCCTGCAGGGATTGGGCTGAAACCTGCAATCTGACATCCCCTGAGGGGTCCCAGATTGTGAGAGGGCACAAGCCAGGCTGAGGGACCCCACTGCACTGGTGCACGAAT